AAGTGAAAAAAATTATCATGACACCAGAACAAGCAATGAGAAGAAAAAGCTACTGAAGATCTCTGCATTAAATCATATCACAATATTTATGTATGCCTTCACAAGCTATGGTTATGAATAGAAGCAGTGACCGGTAGCAGAAAAGAAATGTGGGTAATATAACACAGTATGCTGACTGTGTAGTCCATAAACAGAAACTAAGATCAAGGAATATTTTCTCCTCCACAGCATAGATGAGGGACACAAGCAAAATAGTACCTCTAATTATGACTAATATGAGAGCTTCCTCAGAACACCACAAAGAGAAAACACTTCAACCTTAGAACAAAAAGCCAAATCTTACATACAATTGTTCTGTGTATGAGTCTTCCAGTATTTTAGAACAATTATGTTTCAGAAAGATCAAGTTAGCTCTCCAACTAACGCGGAACATTCTCAACTACTACTTAATGATACCTGGTGGGGGTCTGCTCTTCCTCCTGGTTTCCCAACAGCTTTTCAAGATCAGTCAAGTTCTAAAGGAGTTATGATGAAATTCTCTATCCCATCCCAATCTCGTTTACTTCATTTCACAGAGTTTTTCTAAAATTTCTGTATACATATATGACTACAAAAGCACTTATCACAACCATGACTTGGCTAACTTTTACTTGTATCTCTTGATCTGTTCTTGACATGTCCTCTCATAACTTACAATCCTTTTTGTGAAACAAAGAAATGGCAGATATACATGAAAGGAAACATTCTCTATAACCATGTACAATTTGCTACATCTCTTCTGGAAAAACCTTTTGAGACAGCAGGATAATAAAGATTCTGTTACCACTAACTTGGAGCAGATTGTTTCTGGTGACATGAGCTGGAAAAAGACCTTAGAATTCATTACTAATTCCCTAAAGCAGTCTTTTCCTTAATTTTGAATGTATTAAGTGTAATTCTGAACTTACACATTACTGGATTTTTTAATTCAAGGACATAACCAATTAAAAGGAATTTAATGAGTATAATAGTAGAATAAAACCTAGTGTGAAATAGAATTAAGAACTATCACAATTACAAAGCATAATTATATAAGCCCCTCTTTAAACATAAAACAGTGCCTGTTGTTATTTTATGACGAGACAGTTTTTGAAAAATTGCATTAGCAAATCGATTCAGTCAACTCCAAATACAAACATGTTTGGTACATATAGTGATATGTTTTTATCTGAACCACTCTGCATAACATTGCACAGCCAAATTCAAACAATAAGCAACAGACACTACTTTTGAAATTTATCATTTTGTTTCTGTATTATATTGTGTGCTCCAAGAAGGGCGGGTTGCATCTCAAACTACCCAGAACTATTATCCTGTCAATTGAGAAGAAAACAATTTCTAAAACGACAATGCTGTCTCACAGTTAGTTCTCTTCCTCTTTTTTTTTTTTTTTGGTGCAGGTATTAATATTGCTGCTCTTGGCAGATATGCATTCCCAATATTTGAGTATTTTATAGCACTTCACATCTACTTAAATCACACACAAAAAAAAAAAAAAAAAAAAAAACAAAAAAAAAAAAACAGAAAAAATTTAGTCAAAGAAAAATTAAGTCTATAGGCTCTGACTTCAGCTTCATGACGTTTTAAAATACTCAATCAATTCACATCATTCCCTGTGAACAGGTTTCCATATCAAAAAGCCCACTGTCACAGACAGTACTAGCCGAGTACCTTGAAGGTGCCATCCAGTGCATTCAGCTGTTTGCAAAGCCTTTTTAACATTCTTAAATTATTATGACATTGGAAAGACTTTAATGCTTTAGGCTATCATTTTAAATATTACTCAAGCATACATTTTAAATACAATTACATCAGTACTGTATCCTTGTTCTCTTTTCTGACAGCAGACAGGCAAGGACCACTGCTTCCATGATTTAGCCTGTGAAGTAGAACTGACAAGTAATGTCCCTAAAGACCACTTAGTGAGAGACTGCAACACATTAAGTGACTGTTTATCCTCATGCCTACATCCAAATAACTACAGAGAGAGGTAAAAAAGAACTGTCAAAGTCCTAGCTGTGATGTGAACTTCCATGTACAAAGTGTATGAGAATAATAATAAATGTGGTATAAACAAACATCTTTTAAAAAGTATTTAAATCTACAGAACACTACTTTCAAATAAAAATTTTCAATAACATGTGAAGATCCAAAGACATCAGCGACAGAATCTAACAGAAAAAAAAAAAAAAAAAGTGAATGTAGATAGGATAAGAAAACTACAACTCGGTGACCCTGAGGGCCACTGAGGCATGGTTTGGAACCTGACACTTATAAACACTGATCTAACTTGCAGACAGTTTAGCTGTAACTGTTGTTTAAAAGAACGCAATAACTTCCCATTAACAGCTGCCCTGCCCAGTTATAACTGAAAAAAAAAAAAATCAATTATTTCAAAGGACTTGAAAAAGATGGCACATAACTACTTACACCAAACTCTTACTACACTTAACTACCCAAACTATGACTCACAGATTGTGCGTCACTCAAATTGCAGCTTTGCAATCACCTTACTTTTGCTCACTAAGAAGCAGCATAAGCATCAGTCTTCAAGGTATGAGACTTGAATATTTAACACATTGCAAGGACTCATTCTTGAAGTCATTTTAGGATTTAGCAATTTCTAGGGATTAAGTGTCAATCATTGTCATTCTGGCACTAAGAAATCACAAGCAACAATTTCAAAAATGGCAACATGAATTATATTCAACTGCTGAATGCCTAAGGTCTTGACTCCCCTCTTATTTCAGAAGAGCCATCAGTAGCTCCCCCAATAGCTTGGAACATTTGATTACTTATTACAAGCACACAAGTGCAAGCCAAACGTTGTGGCAGGTCATCACATGTGGTCATCATAGCAGAAAAGACGACTGACATCGAAAATGCCTGTAAACTTCTGAGAAAGATACTGTCAGTGCCCCAACCAGTGCAGTGCTCTTAGAATAAATTTAGGATGAAACCACTTCCAGTTTTACTTAGGATAAAATGTTCTGTTAGATTTTTCTCCTTATTGACAGGTATTTTGTAAATTAAAACTTCTGACAAAAACAGTATTATAGACTGCTGTTCAACATCCTTTGTGTGTTATTCACTGTAGTTTTCTTTTTCTATTCCCTATGCCAAATAAACTTCACTTTATTCACAGGAGCTAGAACTGGCAATGTATAGCAGCAGAAACAAGAGCACCAGAAATTCTATGAAAGAAGAAAATCAACTTCTGACCTTAGAAAGCTGGACATAGTAGAAGCAACAGAGAGACTGTGAAGGGAAGGAACAGCAGCTGTATGCAAAAAAGTGTTGTAAAGCTGGACAAGACCATGCAAGAATGAGGAATATTTGGATCTGCAAGGTTTCAGCTGAAAATACTGTAAAAATATTACCTTAATAAAGCAGTTGTTAGGGTAGGAAAAACTTAAGCAGTAATTTTACAAATGAAGAGAGAGTTCCAGAACTGTGGCACAAATTAGCAATTCCTTGATTTCTGATGTTAGCATTTCAATCAACAGAAATTCTCATCTTAAATGGCAAGCCCAGAATACATCAACTGTTATTAGATGAATACTGAGATTGTGCTATCTGCAATTTAGATTTTTAAACAGATTACATGTGCTCCCTTTGTTTCCAATACAGTAACCTCAATTAAAAGACAAGTTTGTTAATTATATATCATGCAACACAAGAAACCAATACTCTGTCCTGCCTACAGATACTTTTGTTTGAGAGACTCTGACACACATATAATACTTTTAATTACATACACTGTTGACATATTGAGGGGAAACTTTTGGACAGGAAATGCTTTCTATCCCATGCTCTTAAGAAAACAAAACACACGTCAGTAGTAACCTAGGAATTTAGCTATATTAGTACTACAGTTTAACGCAATATGGTTTCTCGCTTTGGCTTGCTCACAAATGGGATGCCAAAGGAAACTGCAGCTCATTCAGCAGACAGAATAATGTATTGTCTAAGGCAAAATTTTATAGCAGTCATTTATGCATTTACTAAGCTTAGATTGTAAACAATGTGTGCAATGCTTTTCTACCACTGAAAATTTCAGATTTCAGAAAATATTTTTTCTGTTCAATTATTAAAACCAGATGACTACTGACTCAAAACAAATCCACTAGCACCAATTTCAAATATTTTTCAGAAGGTAAGCTGTCCACACATACAATCTAACTGAAGCCACAATTACAAAACACAACAAAGCTGGTGCAGGGTCTGGAGCACAGGTTGTATGGGGAGTGGCTGAGGGAACTGGGGGTGTTTAGTCTAGAGAAGAGGAGGCTGAGGGGAGACCTCATCGCCCTCTACAGCTCCCTGAAAGAACACTGTAGTGAGGTGGGTCTCTTCTCCCCAGTAACAAGCGGTAAGACAAGATGAAATTGCCTCAAGTTGTGACAGGGGAGGTTTAGATTGGGTATTAGGAAATATTTCCTCTCCAAAAGGGTTGTCAAGCACTGGAACAGGCTGCCCAGGGAAGTGGTTGAGTCACCATCCCTGGAGTTATTTAACAGATGTGTAGATGTGACAGTTAGGGACATGGTTTAGTGGTGGATTTGGCAGTGTTAGGTTAATGGCTGGACTTGATGATCTTAAATGTCTTTTCCAATTTAAATGATTCTATGAGTCTAAAAGACATTAAAATTAATTTACATTGTTTACATCGGTTTTTTATAACTTGAGATCACATTTCTTTATCTATAAGGATATAGATAGATGAATAAGTTACTACGCAACCACAGTTACTTAATTTTTGCACTAATTTAACCCACAGTAACCACATGTGCAAGAATAGGCAACAGTAAAATAGGCAGGCAACCAACTACTGCAGAGTAGCTGTGGGTAGGTAGCTTTCACATTGTTCGTTACTGCATTGTAAATTGCCTGTCTGCTCCAAAAAAGTAACCATGAAGATGGTGGTCACTGGACTGAATGTTGTAAGCAGGAGTACTTACCATGAGTATAGAATGGTTCCCACTACTGATGCAAGTTTGCTGTTTTCTTGCTTTTGCTTTGCAAGACCAAAGTCAGCTAGAATAAAGAAGAAAAGATTCAGATGTCGATAAACAACCTCTTCACATGACAATCGGTGCTAGTTCACAACAGCTGAAAAGTTGGGGGAGGGTGTAAGGGAGGTTTTGGGGTTTTTTTTATCTTTTATATATTTCCCAGTACTGGACCATACTGTCTTCGTATCTCCACATTAATCAACAACTTATGTTTGAATTAGGCCTGCCAGCTTTAAAATTATTATAAACACACTTCTGATGCTTCCAATCCAAACTACATGACCAGTTTTTGAGATTTCTATCAATATATTCCAATAAACTGCATGACAATGGTAAGTATCTAATAAGCAGTGATCTAATGCCCAAAGTAATGGAAAAATAATGTAGTGAAATTAGCAATTATTTCAATTTCCTTCAAATTATAATAGCTGGGAAGGGCGGACTTTCTCAGAAATTAAATTTCAAAGAAGTATGTGGGGGTCTAATATCAGAATAGTTCACGTTCAAAGATTGCATTTGGTAAGAAGTAACAGTGAATCTTAGCCTTACCTTGTGACAAAAGCTGTAGATTTAGATGATCATGCAATCATCTTACTGTAAGTGCCTTTCATGCAATTATCAGGTGACAATTTCACAAAATTGTCACATACAGTCTTTAGAGATTATTTTTTTAATCTAAATTCCATGCAAACAGTTCATTTTTTTCAGTTCAGTACTCTACTGCTGCCTGAATGCAACAATGCATCTAAGATACATTGCACTTTCTTAAATCCAAGCACAGAGAGCAAGAGAAAAATCACTGTACTTGTTAAAGTCTGTTAATAAATTTTGTATTGTAATACTACTTCAGAATTGGGAAGAATTGTGTAGTAAATAGTATTGTTTAAAGTATTTTAAAACTCCTGTTCTACTTGGACAGAGCCCATAGCATTCCTATTCCAATTGTTTTTACAGTTCATAAACATTTTAATTCAAAATGTTGCTACTCATCAAAAAAGCTGCAGATCTGAAGAAACACAGGTAAGAAAAATTAGTTTCTGTTGGCTCTGGCTCAGCGTGAACCTCAAGGGTCTGAAAAGGAGTAGATCTCTTATTCAGAAAGGGCCTTTGATAAGAAAGCCAAATCTAGGTACCCAGGCCACAAATCATTTTTCTTTGAACAAAATGTACAAAGACAGACCAGCTCTGCAGTGCTTGGAAAATGTAAGTAGAAAGAATGCTAAATTAACAGGATGACTGAGAAGCCTCCCTTTTGCCCTTGAGTTAAGACAGTCTTAAGGCAATTCACTCCAGGGAATTTTAATCCCAAAAGGACCAGAAGTTTTTGCAACGATGATACTATGCTTCCCTGAATTAACTGGGGTGCATCATTCTAAATTCTCCCCTTAGGAAACCTTCACATAATATTCTATGAAGAGTATCAATACATTGGAGAGAATTAATACATTACATCAATCAATAAATTCAGTTCCTGGTGCTTGAAAGATTTAGGAAAGGAAAGAGGAGAGCTGGACATCTTGGTTCTGGAAGTAGACTATTTTAATACAACATTAGTGATTATCTGGAAAAAAGAACATAAGGGGAAAATCATCCAGATGGAGTAAACCTATTCTCTTCCTTTTAAGCTCATGTCCTCAGAAGTGGAGGGGAAAAAAACTGTTTCACAGTCAGTAACTTTTTCCAAATTCTGCTAACCCGTCTTGACACCATCAAGAAGCTCCTACACACTACTGGTACTGCCAGAGCTAAGGAATGTAAAGCACAGGACAATTACTTTTATATTAAACAGAAATGCTTTTTCTTAGTTTTTTTAAGACCATAATACAGTATTAAATGAAAAGGATCGGGCAAATGTTGAATTGCATCGAACTAGTGAAATTGCTTCTTTTAATTTATTTAGGCGTATGTCTGCAGCTTATAAATTGATCTACAACTTTTAATACTCCGGGATTCATTTGGTATTTGATGCCAGAAGCTGCTACAATAAGTAACAGACAAATGAAAGAATTTCTGAGAACTGTGAAAAGCTTGGCTCCCATACCATTAAATGAAGATATGACCAAATATAAAGATGACCCCTAATAACTGCTATTCATTGTTCCAGCTTTGAAGTGAGAATTGATTAATGAGGGCTCATTGCAACAATTTGTATTTGGCAGTTTTCTGAAACAGCTTCGTACCACAGCAGTATGTCTTTAGAAGCTGGAATGGAATTGTGAGAGAAAGATACTTGCTCAGCTTCTTAGGAACTTTACCCAAGCGTCAGCTTTTAGCACAGAGAAAGACCTACATAAATCTTTGATCTGATCTTGAGGTTCTTATGTTATGATCTTATTGGTCACTTCTGAAATTCAAAACACTTATTAAAGAAAGTATTCTTCCTGAACCATCTTGATTCACTACAGTTAATTCATCCAGTGGTACACCAAGCATTAAGACACAGCTCTTAAATACAGGAATGGGCCCTTCCTTAGAAGCTAGACCTAACCAATTCACAAATACCTGTGTGAAAGCAAATGCATCTGATCACAAATCTCACCAATTTCAGAATGAAATACAAAACTTACAGCTTCCAAATATTTTCCTACACTTCCATTCTCACACAAACATTCTCACACATACCCAGAAGCACAGGGACAGCTTTGTAAACCAGTAAATTAGATGAATTAAAACAAAGGTTGGTAAGAGCAAAAGCAAAAAGACAGCACAAAACAGGATGAAGGGAGAGAATAGGCAGGCCATCCAGCCACCACCAGCATCAGGATGCAGAAATTCATGCTGCATCAGTCCATCCAGAAGGGTTGGATGAACTCGTCTTAGTGATTCAGAGCAAAATTCTATGAGAAAGATGAGCTAACAACCCTCTGCTGTAAAACGACCAGTCCTGCCCCTTTCTTGTACTGTCTCTGTAAACCAGCTCATCTGGCACTTGTGTCTTGATGAGTTTAACTCAACCTTTTTCAGGCAACTTTTGTGCTGCTTTAACCTAGTCCCAGACCTGATATTTCAGTGTCTACCACTGTCTACCAACTGTCTACCACTTGTTGCCCTCTGTAATCTTGCAATGCCGGAACAAAACCAGCATTAGAGAGGCAACTCCCTCATCCCCCCAAAATAACAAAACCCCTCATTTTGATTGTTACATTACCTTCCTGAAAAGTAAAAACTACCCCTTCTGCATCAAAAATAAAAGAAACCATGATTATTTTGTTCTATAGCTGAAGAAAAACCAAAATGCTAGTGGATGACATGAGGATTTCCATGAGTGGATTTCTATGAGGAAACAGTCTTGGAGCTTTAATGGCACCAGTGGAAAGATCCATCTACCTGACCCCTTCCCCCACGCTCCCAAAAAGAGCTGTCTGTTGCTGAAAAATAATGGTTGTTTTCATCTGAGTATGTCATTTTGGAAAAATGACACTTTTTCTGGTTTTAAACACTACTTCAATTTTTTCAGGTTCATGTGAATACATGCATATCACCACTACAAATTTATTGTACCATCCTAATACATGAGAGTTTGTAAACTAAGGGGAATGGCAAGTATACCAGTCTAGCAAACAAGTTTTCTAAAATAAAATTTCCATGGTAATATTTTCTGGTGCTTTGTCTACTGTGCAACCTCAATTGACGCTACTTCTTTACAGCTAATTCCTCTAATGGTTGGAAGCTTGTCATCCTTCATTGATGAAGGAGATTATTTTAAGTCTGTTCAAAGACAATGAAAACCTAACACACTTTCACCATTACATGGATATTTATAAACTATGACTAGATGGTATTATTATACTTGATTAGAATTTGTACTGTGATTGTAAACATTAAGCCTTGAGAGTATTTTTCTCTGTGTATCAGGAATCTAGAAAACTGTATGTTAAGGGGTTTTTTAAAATTCATTAAAAAATAGTCAAACAACCATGCAAGACAGTCCTCAAATAGGAAGAAATATTAACACAAAATGATGCAGTCATAATCCTTTAAAATTCTGAAACACCCTTTACTTGTTTTCACTTGTTTATATTGTGTTTAGGGCAGCAGAGTAAGTGATAATGAAGTAAAGCTGTTTCAGAAAACATTAACAGGCCGGGGAAGAGGGTATGAAAGGAAGAGAGAACTATGAAAAAGTGAGTAGGCTGACTTGACTAGTATCTTAACCTCCTACAGAACAATCTCTTCAGCTTTCATAATAGATGAATTACAAGAAGTTTCTATATTTTAGCAGTCTCTTTATATGAGTATTTTAGGTACCTGCAATGCTTTTTCTCTTTTTATTGACAGAATTTGCTTTTTCTTTTGTCATTTTATTTCCAAAAGATTTCACCTAGTAGGTTGATCTTCTATAATAAAAACAAGAGGAAAATTTTCCAGATACTACATCTTTAACAACACCAATCTCATATTTGTATGTTTGTTACCTTAATTTATATTTTAACCCTTTTTGAAAACGCCATTAATTTTTCATAACATACGGACACAAAGAGCAAAAGCAAAGCAAAAAGGAGGATGAATCATATCACCACACATGTGAACTTCAGACCTACTCAGGTCAGATTTTCACTGTGTCCCCCACTGAACAGTTTCTTCTTCTACCCTGAAAGGCTCAGGATGAGACAAAATCACTTTGCTTCTCTTCAGCAAGTTTGCACTGTAATCAAGAAAGTTTGTCAGCAACTTAGTGAGTTACAGTGATGTGGAAGATAAAAATATAACTTTAATTTTATTTTCCATAAAAGCATATCCTAAAATCAAGATAATCAACAACAGTACATACTTGTTCTACTCTTTTTCATCAATAGAATGGGAACAGAATTTCTCATCATTCCCAAATGCACCTTCTAGCTATCCTATTTATTATTCTCCTTTCTGTGTGCTAATATCAATGCTTCGTAAACTCAGTCTACTATCTGTCAGTTTTGTAACGCTTGTAACTTCTGCACTAAGAACATTAGCATTGATCCACATCTAGAACTGAGATTTGTAGAAAGAGATGCAATTGTGCTGTTAATCCACCAATAGTATCCAGAATGTTTAATTTACAGTGTGAATGTAAACAAGTGGAAAATTCCACTCAGCCTATTATGGAAGCTTTGAAAATTAAGTACTACAAGCATTTGCTTGAATCTTAGTATGAAGGCTAGCAATTCTGACAATGAAGATTGGTTAAATGGACCATATAAACTGAAAAAAACCTAGCACTGATCCAAGTGGCTCTGGAAAGTAGTGACTAATACACAACAGACACTAGTTATATCCACTTCATCTCATAGCCACTGCTTCTCCAGGCATAGCACAGAATCAAGAGCCAACAGGTCTTTTTAAAGGTGCACTCAACAAGCAAGTACCCTGAATTACAAAATTAACAGGTAGCTTTCTTCCAGCATCCAGAAACTATCTGAACTTTTCAAGTCTCATTCACTTCATTGTTCTGACAGTTTATGGCTGTCTGCTATGATTAGAAGTATATCAGACAGATGAGTTGTCTCAAAACTAGTTTTCTGCTGCTATATAATCCTAGGTTGCAGTTCCATACAGATCCTTTCTGCTGCCCTTGTATCATGTGTACTAAACATTAAACAGAGCATGTCATCTAAAAGAGCGTATGAAACCCTTCACAGTTCTTGATTTTCTTGACCTGAAAGGTGTCAAACTGATTCCACATGGCCCTCTTTGACTATCAAGATCTAAACCTTGCTGCAACTAGATGACACTACGGAAAAGTGGTGATCTACGGAGTCTTCTGTTTTGTCCTACAAACAGATGCAGCTATGGAGTTCTAGACAGAAATGTGCTGTGCTAGAAACAAAATACAGCTGCAGTAAGATATGGCTGCAATAAAAGCAGATACACATTTTCAATTCATAAAACTAACTTCTCAATGTCTTATATAAAAAGTCTGGGCAAATTAAACTGAGAGCCACAGATAATACAGGTTCAATGAATCTCTAAAGCCCTATGCAAAATTACTTTCATTCAGGCTGTGCCTAAAATTCTACCTTTTTTTTTTTGTATCAGAAATTATAAATAGGACATTCAACCAGACCAGATACATACAGTTTCAGTACCACTTTTCTACCAATTTAGAAATAGATGTTTTATGAAATTGTAGGTTCACATGATTTAATATTTATATTTTCATAGCATTTGTAGCTCAACCAATTATGATAACATAAGAGATGGCAGTTATGGCCCCCTTCCTATCAAATTTATGTCAGAGATGAAACAGAACAAATGAGTGGGGTGGGCAGTACCACACACTACATAAAAACAGCATGCTTAAAGTTCTCTACAGTCGGAAACAGAGATCTCATATCACCACTAGCCTGGCTAGGATCAGATTGTAAATGTCTGTTTCCATTTTCAACAGCACACAACTTAGAAGAGCCTGAAAATGACTGGGATAATTCAGATCTAATTGACATGTGTAAAAGATGTCATGGGAACCACAAAGGAAGTTATATAATCTTCACATTAGAACGAAGCACCTCCTGGGTTTAGGATTTTCATTTGTATATTACATAAGTTTAAAAACAAAACAATAAACAAAGGTCTTGGATAAAGATAGTGTCTAATCTCACTCAATATTTAAGAAAAAGAAAATACGGTGTGACTATACAGATTCAAAAATTCTTCCTACTATTGCTTCGGGAGGATGTTCAGAGATATTCAGAGACCATATGTAGAAAAGGCCCCTTCGCTTAATCTTACATTGTGCGAGGCTGGTTGCAGAGTTCTCTGCCTGTATGAATTCTAGTTGTCAGCCACCTTTCACCATAGGTCCCTGACTACCAAGTTCTGCTTGCATTGTTCTACAAGGGCTACCTATAGAACATTTCTCCATGAATTCAGGGCGAGCAAGCATAATTCTTTAGCAGGTTTATTTTTTTCTGTGCTGACAGCAAGGTGGGAATGTCTCCCACACTATGCACTCCTTTCCTTTTCAACTAGCGTAAAGTCTTCATGGGATTTGAAATGCAAGTGGCTCATTTCTCACATACGTGGTGAGAAACGCCTACCCGTGGGTCCCAGAACTTTCTTAAAGCAGTTCATTGTTGGGACTGCTGCATAGCCATGCACAGTACAGAATGCAAGTCTTAGCCTATAGAAGCACTTTGCTCCAATGTACTGCTCACTTTATCTTTATTTTTCTTTAAATCAAAAGCTACCATGAGAGTTTGAAACTAAGGCACCTCTCTAAAGACAACATATTTGAAGAATGTTAGTTACAAGGGAATAAGCTGCCTTTGTTACATTGTCAGCCTGCAGATTCTCATAGCAAAAGATTAACAGGAGTTCTATTTCCAGGAGGACTGAATAGCAGTATTATAAGCCATACAAGCTTCTTTTATGGAGCAAAATAATTTGGACCATTGGAGACTTTATCTTCATTACACAAAACAGTGCTTGACAGGTAGTCCACAGCAATATTATTCTAGTTAGATCAAGACAAGTTTTGGACAGTTTTGAGATTTGTAAGACTCCAGAAAATCTCTCTCTTTAGGATGATTGTGCAGCTTGTAAACACAGAACTACAGTTCTGAGTAGGTCTTAGAGCAGACCTTCTCCTTTTGTAAAAGCTGATAGGTTAAATTCACTGCAAAGGCAGATACAAGATTTCTCAATACTTGAGCATATGCTTCCACCTTCTACTGACATTTTATATTGACTTTCATCTAGAACCACCTGAAATTCTCAAATGTATAGTACAATTATCCACAAATACTGTGAGATATAATTATCAAGATCACAAATGCTCCATTCTTTGGAATACACAGACTGTATGAGTTAGGCACAATACCACATCATGCACCAATACTGTGCATATTTACTATTATTGGAAAGAAAGTAAATTATTCTTAATCTTATTAAGGTTGTAAAACAACAAGGCTCAGTAAAATTCAGAAGTAATAGATAAAAGGTCTTCAGCTCCCTCTGAAAATTCAGTGTACGCTGGTATTAATTAAAGTACTAAATAAAGTAGGTGTTTGTTTAAATATTGCAATAGTTTCAAAACAATCCCTGTAGAAATGGTCAAAATAAGTTTCAGTTCTTCCCATTTTCCTCAACTCCTGTAAATTTTTGACAGGAATATGAATGCTTTTCAAGGGCAATCTTGATCTTACATTTGAAAGTACATTTGCACTTCTTTCTATCTAGATTGGACCAGAGATAAGGCAAACATGTTAAATCAAGACAAGAGTGCCCCTCTGTGGCAGTATGCTGATAAAAAATACAACTACATGATACTTGAAAATAATAATCTGAATATTTATTTTCATTACTCAGACACAAATGTTCCATTAAATTACCTTCTTTCAGAACTCTGTAATTACTAAGGATCAGAGGTTTTCAGCACATACACTTTAATGATGAATGAAAGTATGTATATCATCAGGTATAAGTATTTACTATATAACAACAGCAACTAAATATATTTGCCTCTTATAACTGAGCATTTTGTGGTTGGGTGTGTGTATGTCTACGCTTCCCTGCTAGTCTTAAAGAAGAGAGATTTATTTTTGCATAAAGACTTTTCACAACAATTCTGCAGTATTCAAATTGTCTATTTAGTTCTGTGGCACGAGCAGTAAGAAAGCATGCAGTAGTTCTTTGAGAACTTTAAAAACTACAGTATCTGAATTGCCTGTAAGGTTCGCTGTGTGTACCCGGTTGTATTAATTCACTCAAAGAGTAAAACTTCGTCATACTTTGTACTGTTCACACTACTTTCAAAGCCTGTCCTGAAAGCTGCCTAGGCTCCTTCTTCCACACTGTGAAGATTATAGAAACTTATATCAAGAATATTCATTACTACAGGCTTAGACAAATAGCACCTCACTGCAGTTGACCACTGGGAATAACTGATGGATATTAAACAATTGCATGGTAAAACTGGAGTAGAACAGATGGCTGTTGTACTTCATATGTTCATTAGCACTTGTTATCTAATCTGTTATCTCGATATTCTTGCTGATTTAAATAAAAACAGGCCTTGAAGCAAAACTATAGCTTAATTTTTTTAGGGCTAAATCATCTCCTCCATTTCAGTAAAAAAATTCTACTCACATTCATCATGGGAAATTCTCTTCAAGTAAAGTAGTTGTACTTACTAATCGTAACTTTGTCTTTATCCCCAAGCATGACATTGTTCGGAGTAAGATCTCGATGAACAATCCTTTTCTCTTTATGCAAATAACGAAGAGCTAGACAAAGCTTAAAAACAAACAGTCTTACAAAGATTCTTAACTACAAGTACATAAAATTAAATTCATATCTGATATCAGTGCCTTATATAAAAAGCATTACTTTGTCATTTATTAGCCTAAAAAACATAAATGGTGTTACTAATTACATGCAGGAAAGGTCCAGTAAAAAAAAAAAAAAAAAAAAGGCCCTTACTTGGATAAATATATGCCATATTCTTTCTTCTGTAAACTGCTGTTGCTTTTCCTTCAAAGAGTGAAAGTGTTCTCCTAGTGGCACTCCCTCTATGAGCTCCATGACTATATACAATCTGTCATCTATATAAAAGACAGTGAATTAATAGAACATTATATATTTACAGAAGGCATTTGAAAATAGAGTATTTGAGGTTAAAATATATTTCAAAAGATGTTACTTTTTACTTTTTTTTAAATGTATTTGTACAGACAAATACATTTTAATTATAACTCATTGTTATTCCATTTTTTCCTCAATTTATATCACAGCAACTACAAGAATTCACAACCTGATAATCATTTAGCGGGCAGATGCATGTAACTAACTCTATAAGAAAATTAAGACAATATGGCTGAGCAATCTGTATCATTCATTCTACTACTCACTATAGCTTTTCTCCCTACTTAGCATTCCAGCTGTAAATTTTGTATCTTTAACTCTATAGTATGAGAATGATGCCTTACTATATATATTGCATCCAGTTTAATTGATAGGTAAATAAATACAAATATATCTCACCATTTTTTCAGTTTTAAAGAAATATAAGCCTGTCTGAACTGTAGCAGTTCTTGAAGAAAATATTACCATTTGCTCCTCAAATTTGATGTACTCCTTCCAAGATGTAAATGGTTTTATTATATATTTCTATTTCTTCATTATGTACAAGGTGGTAAATCTCTGCCTTTATACTTACTTTCCAAGAAGGTTCTGTAATAACGTACAACATTTGGATGATAAAGCTACAATGAGGAAAGAAATGTAGATGTTTGAACAGTTAAATTGGTGGCACAGTGTTTATAATGTTTAGCTACACATTGGAAGGAAAGGTTCCACAAGGATTCCACAAACTTCCTTATGAACTGCAGTGCAGTAAACCTTCACTGCTACCCCAAACATAGAGGAGTGTTGCACATTGCTCGAGCAGCCAGGAAGAAAACACAGCATGACTCTTATACATTCACCCCTTAATAACTGAGAGTAAATGAAGTTTGAAGATGGGCAATTATGCCTGCATCAAAGTATTGGCTTGCTTAGTTTAAGAACACTAATGTTCAGGCTGAGTTTTTAATTTTCAGTTACAGAAAAGACTATCTTCTCACTGTATTTTAAATGCAAGAATTCATTAAATAGAAAACTGATGAGTCTTTGTTCCATCACAACTTTAACATAGAATGCCTGAAAAAAGTTCAAATACTGCCAACAGTAAGAATCTTTAGTAACAAGTATTTGCACTGCTGCTAACACTATGGTAAGAAGGTTTTCGATACTGGCAGCATTCAGGTAAAAGGGGCCCATATTGTGCTGACGGGGCAAAAAAAGTAACAGCAGCTGGAAGTCCTGCTATATAAAATCATAGAATCATTTAGGTTGGAAAAGACCTTTGAGATCAAGTCCAACTTTTAACCTAGCACTGCCGAGTCCCACTAAACCATGTCCCTAAGTGCCACATCTACACATCATCTAAGTACCTCCAGGGATGGTGACTCAACCACTTCCCCGGGCAGCCTGTTCCAGTGCTTGAGAACCCTTTCAGTGAAGAAATATTTCCTAATATCCAATCTAAACCTCTCCTGGTGCAACTTGAGGCAATTCCATCTTGTCCCATCGATTGTTGCTTGGGAGAAGAGACCAATACTCACCTTGCTACAGCCTCTTTTCAGGTAGTTGTAAAGACTGATAAGGTCTGCCCTGAGCCTCCTTTCCTCCAGACTAAACAACCACCCCAGTTCCCTCAGCTGCTCCTCTTAGGACAATGTGCTTTAGACCCTTCACCAGCTTCGTTGCTCTTCTTTGGACACACTCCAGCACCTCAATGTCTTTCTTGTAGTGAGGGGCCTAAAACTGAACACAGTGTTTGAGGTGCAGCCTCACCAGTGCTGAGTACAGGGGGATGATCACTGCTCTGTCCCTGCTGGCCACACTATTTCTGACACAAGCCAGGACATTATTAGCTACCTTGGCCACATGGGCACACAGCCAGCTCACAGTCAGGTGGCTGTCAACCAATACCCCCAGGTCCTTTTCTGCCAGGCAGCTTTCTATATGAGAACCCACAGCTAATAATGCTAACAATAGAATGTCCATACATGAAACTAGAGTCCATGAGACATACCTGCTCTTTGATGATGGTTAATTCAGAGACAATGGTCTTTACACTGCTGTCTCTGTCTTTTTTGTCCTTTCCAAATGCTGGATTGTGTAAATTGACTTCTTTCATTGCCAGGAGATTTTGTCCATTCTGTTTTCTAACCTATGAAAAAGATAATGTCCTTCTAAAATGAATATAAGATGGTGTGCTGATATTAGCTGGGATAGAGTTCATTTTCTTCATAGTAACTAGTATGGCGTTACATTTTGGATTTGTGCTGAAAAAATAATGCAATTATTTATCTATTAGTGTTAATAATGCAAGGGTATTTTCGATATTGCTGAGCAGTGCCTACACAGAGTCAAGGGCTTTTCTGCCTCTCACCCCACCCCACCAGTGAGTAGGCTGGGGTGCACAAGAAGCTGGGAGGGGACACAGCTGGGACAGACCCCAAGTGACCAAAGGGATATTTCATACCATATGATGACATGCTCAGTAATAAAAAGCCTGGGGAAGAAGGAGGAAGGGGGAAATGTTCAGAGTGATGGTGTTTGTCTTCCCAATTTAGTCGTTACACGTGATGGAGCCCCGCTATCCTGGAGATGGCTGAACACCTGCCTGCTTACTGGTGTGAAGTGGTGAATGAATTCCTTGTTTTGCTGTGCTTGCACACGCAGCTTTTTCTTTACCTATTCATTTGTCTATCTCAACCCACAAGTTTTCTCACTTTTACCATTACGAATTTCTCCCCCATCACACTGGGGGGAAGTGAGCAAGTGGCTGTCTGGTGCTTAAATGCTGGCTGGGGTTAAACCACGACAGATGGGGATAGAAAGGATGTTATTATGGCTGCCAGATTTGTTATCAGAGTCCAAACCTGTCTCACAAAAGTTACAGTCATAGCTTTTTCTGTGAATGATGTGACTAGCCAAAAGAACTGTAGTCTCATGATACAGGTTAGTAGCACACTTGAACTTGCCACAGCATTTGAAGTAACATTATCTATGCCCAAGGTTGCTTTTCAGATAAAACATACTTGAATTTCTGTGGTTTTATACAGATTTGTTAGCCTTTGCAATAGGCAGAAACGCTGTTTGTGGAAAGGAATGAAAAGAAAGTAAAAGTAGGAAATCTAAGAGATACACTAGTCAATCTTACAAATACAAGAGGGGACAAAGAAAACCACAGTAAATACTAACAACAAGTCCAGATCCATAAAGACCTTTTCACACCTGCATTTCCCTAGTGAAATTCAAAGGACAGTAATGCCTTAAAAGAGGTAGGTATATATATATATATATATATATATATGAAGCCTCCCCTCAACCCTTTAAATTAATACCAAAAGGAAAGTTTACCTTATATACGTTTCCAAAAGCTCCACTGCCAAGGTGCTCTAAAATTGCATAATTGCCTATATGTTTTGTAGGTGCCTTATTCTGATTCATGCTCTCAATACTTTCAGCAATTTGCTTCAATTCATCCTCCTGGTTATAAATTAAATTACAAATAAATAAATATAAAATATTTCATGCCTTTCTTGTGCAAAGAATATGCAAATAATACAGCTTCTTAAAGCTATTAAAAGTAAGCATTTTACTTACCTTTAGTGAATTTAGCTTTGATACCAACTCTTCATAAGCACTGATATCACGCACATAATGTCCAATATCAATGAAGATTTCAAACAAGTCAGTAGGGAAAAGTCTACAAAGGTTTAAATTTTGATATATTTTAGTAACAGTATACACAGTAGCTATTAATCTACAGCAGAGAGTTTTCAATGTTTATTATTACAAGTTACTTTAGAAACTTCTAAATAATACACTTATTTTTTACTAATCTATTCAGATATTAACTTTCTAACATTACATACATAGGAGTTAAAGGACCTTTCAAAAGTCAGACTTCAGCCTCCACTGATTATTAACGCAAATGCCAGTTCTCCAATCAAGTATAAGCTTCTTTAAAGTCAATGCATCTCCTGAGTTTCCAGTAATTTTCCTATTTTTTTCTTACAGTACTTTATCTTATGCTTGTCATCACTTTATCTGAGTTCTTTCCTCTAATGCATTAAGTGATAGGACTAATGTTTGTCTGCATTTAAAGAATTATGACACACATCTTAGAATTTTTGTCCAAGAAGTCTAGTCTAAAAAATGAAAAGGACTGAGAAAAGCAAAGGCTAGCAGGTAGTAGGCAATATTTGATTGGTGACATGCTTAACTGAAGGTTTGTTTCTTTTCAAAGTTCTGGCAGAAGTAGAAATACAGAAAATTAAGGCATTTGGAAAAATAAAAGAGACAGCAAATTAGTTCAGGTTTATCACTTTCAAAACTTGGCACCAACCATGAACATTCATTACAAACTGGGGCCCTTTCAGTAAAAATGAAACAGAAGTTATATTTAGAATTTTAGTAATTTATGATACAGAATAAAACCATATAGAAACCCTACTGACAGGCAGACCTCCTAGGCAATATGGTTACTATCCTAATCCCACAGATCAAACTGTTAGGTTTTACATGGCCTTTGTGGCCAACCTGGCAAAACTGTCATCTTACTAGCAAAAATGGGTAACTGATGAGAGATATTTTCACCTTATTGATCCAAACCTTTCAGCAACACTCCTAAGTAAACCAAATTGATGCAAAGTCATTCCCATGTGAAGGAGTGGAGAGCTCAGAGAAAAAAATTACTGCTCCCAGTTACTTGCTACTATATCCAGGGCTGTAACTTGCATCTGCTAATGTTCAGGATAAAAATATGGTTTATCTCCAACAGCATTAAATCTGTCCTCAACATATTTAAAACATTGATTCATGGGGGAGGAAGGAGCCCCTACAGAGCCAGGTTCTCTGGCATGCATACAACGGAAGTCCCCACACTGAACGTCTAAATCTTATAAACTGGCACTAATGCAATGCAGGAATGGGTATCTATAGCTGTGGACAGGACAGAAGTTGCCTGTTACTATTTCTTCATGTTGAAAATACATGACATTTAAAAAAACATGTCTTTCTGATTGCAGTGATGACTTTTGAAAGCTATCCTAAAGGAGTTTCACAAAACATTTTGTTAACATACCTTTTAAAGATATGGCGATTTCTTTCCATACTGAAGAGAAACCTCAGGGCTCTGAAAGCATAACACTACAGTAGGAAAAATACTTAAATTAATGACAAATTTACAAATGGAAAAGTCACTGATAAACGTCAAGGATTCCCCTTGATTTTACACACTGGTAAACTTTGTACTTAAATCACTAGACAGATTACATTATTAAGCTGATAATGAAAAGAATAAAAATATATTAAGTTCCTCCTGTATTTTAAAAGTACACAGGGCCATTTAGGGGGGAAAAAAAAAAGTATTAAAAAGTGGGTGACTATAGCTATAGCATATCTTGAGGAACATCTAAATCTTAATCATCCCCTTTGCAGATAGCTCAAGACTTGAGATCTGCTCTCTTCTCCAGTGTTGAAAAAGGTAAATGCAAACAGTGGTTCCGTAATGATGCAGTAGAAACAACATTTTGCATTTTTTCTGAAAAGTGCAGTGTGGAACACAAAGTTCTAACGGGACAAAAAAGAAAAGTGAGAAAGAGAGAATGTTCAACTTTTTTCTTTTTTTTTAATACCAAGTTCATCATATTTACAGAGATCTTTACGTACCTAGGTTTCTATCTTTATGTACCTTAGTTTTGATATGATCTCTGCTGAAGAAAGTTTATTTTTAAAACAGTCACTGTCAGGTAGTTTATGCATATGCTTTTAAGCAACTCATCTTTAATTTCATTTATCATGACTTGATAATACAGCACATATATGGCTGATCAGACAAAGATGACTGTATGAAGTAAGCCAGGGAGAAATAAGTTATTGATATGTGAAACAATGCAAAGAGAAATTGCCTTTAACATAATCTAGAATCACTTTATTGCATCAGTGACTGAAACACTACTACAGTCCAGTGTGATAACCACTATTTTGACAGTGGTAACTGTATCTTAGTGATAGCTGCAGAATTAAATATCATGTTAAAAACAAATTTTTCAATATATAAAAATGCATTAAATGAAGAAAATAAAGGCCAAATGCTACTTTTGAAGGAAGCATGATACTTGAAATTTTACAGGAAAGGAACATATGCTAATACTGCTAAGAAGCTGTCTCTTTTACAGACAATGTTTCTTTTTAGTCCAAAGTAAACTCCCCATCACAGGAGAAAGATCGTCTGTTATGGTGTCCAATATTCCACTGAGAATCACAGTCACAATTCAGCTGTACAAAATAACTCAGACCAGCTGGGCCATAGTTGCTACCTTTAGAGTTTTTCATTTTAGAGACTATACATACATCTTACTGTAGAAAGCCCATCAGTGAAGGGACAAAATAGCAGATTAATAATGAGTTAAATAGATATTTTAAATGGCAGTAATATTTGTCTCTCACACTAGTATTTTGAGATTAATATTTAACATCTGTGATATGCTTCAGTTAAGGCATGATGATTTTTATATATGGTATGTACACAGAATAAATGACTCGTATCACTGCCACCTTGAAGTAATGGAGTAAGATCACTAAGGTAGTACAGTAGAAGGAAGGTGAAAATTGAATCATTGAAAACACAGACAATAGAGCAGTAAAGAAGCCAGACCAGCATTGCAAGAATTCTAAGAACAATGCCTATGAAAATTAAAAAGTGTATTCCAATAGCTGCAACTGTACTGCATAGCAGTAACAATGATAAAGGCAATCCAGATAGCAGCATGAGAATTTGAACAAGGTTTCATTAAAAAAATATACTTCCTACTGTTTGAACAAAACAGATTTAGTTTTCATATGTGATCATTAAGTCCATTATTAATTCACATGGCTTCATGTTTAAGCCAACTACAGTTGCTTAGTATCTCTTGTGAGTTCTTTCTGCTGGAATCTAAAAATCTCGGTGGGCATAAACTAAGCGCATACAGTTGTATGAGGCAACTGTACTGATCATATGCTCCAGTTTATTAGGCTGCATGTTAGTTTCATATACCCTCTAGGAAGACATTTATTTATTTCACCCTTAAGCTGATTTAAGTGAAATGCACTATAAAACCTGTTGGAGAAGAAAGGTATCTACTGCACTGAATCTGCACTCCAACCCTTATCTAGAAGAACTGCAATGAGAAAGATGACACTAAAATGACTTTTTTTATTTTGTGGAAATGCCTTCCCTTGCTATCCAGGCATGTCTACCTGATCAGAGAGTAGTTATGTAGCCATGTTAGTGTAGGGTTATTGCCAGAACAAAGACCAGGTGAAAGGCAGGATCCTGACCACATTACCTCTGCTAAGGACCTCCTCACACTTGTCCACAGAAGGGCAACTGGAGCAGCAGCAGTCATGTTCATCCCTGAACCCCAAATCACTACTTTCCTATAGCTCAGAGAGACACCAATACCATTTCACAAAGGCTGAAGAAGAGCTACTAGATAATTAATTACTACTTTCAGCCTAAGTTGACTCAAACCAGTACATTTATGGGGGTACTGACATGCAAAACCAAGAGTCATTATGCTTATTAGCTCTATATTTATCCTACATTTAAATCTGCTCTACTTTGTGTGACATTTTCCTGTACTTTATTTAACAACCACAGTAATATGGTCCAGAAAGAAACAGATAATAGTACAGTGTCAAATCTACAGAGGGTTTCAATGAAGACCAAGGCATTAAAAAGATCTGATGCTGAGCAGCCTGAAAAAAAGTGGAGGAAAGATTATCAAAAGAAAAATATTTGCTTTCCTTTATACTATATGAGGTGCCAGAAACAAAGTAGATCAGAAGAGAATGCCAGAAATTGAGTCACTATTTAACTTTTAGTTCCCAGGCCATTTGTTGTTTTGGGGGGGGGTCTTTTTCCCTTTTAAGTAGGATTTTTTTTACTGTACTTTAAAAATCATAAAAATTTTCATGGACTGTTTGGAGCTTTCTGTGTGCAATGATAATAAAGGGAGTTACCTGTAATAAATTAGCTTTTCCAGTATTCCTTTCTTTGTGTGGTAAAGTAAGTTTTGCTATTGTATATATTCCATTTGCCTGGAAACAGAGAAAGGTCAATATTAATAGCACTCCTTTGCATAGAAACCACAAATAAAACCAAAGTTACTTCAGATAAATCAGAAGCTAATACCGATTGACAAGTTCTGAACATCCTGCTGCATGCCTAAATTATAAGATCAAATTACTTAAATCTACATAAGAATTAAATCATTGTTACACTTAAACTGATACTGCAAAGAGAGCTTGCAAACAGGTAATGAAGCAATGCTGCTGTCTCTAGAGGTGAGGAGTCTGTGCCTTCAGAAGGATTCTGTGAAAACCATACTGTATCTCAGCTTCCATTTTCATGTAACCACGAAATTAAGTGTATCCATCATGTTGGTTTGATAGATAGGCACTGGTAGATTTAGTTACAGTACTGCTTCTAGTTACACAACGATCTCCCTGTTGGAGACTACTCTCTAGCAGAGTTGAAGGGAATAAGCTCTGCAGAGGCTCTGCTGCAGTTCCTGATGTGTTTTCTTAAACTGTTCACGAAGGTAGAGTTGAGCTAAGGTTTTAGGTTGTGCAGTTAGAGCCATTGAGTCATAAATGCATTCTGGCCTGCTACCAGAATTGCTGCAGACTGCTAATGAGGCTGTAACTTGAGACAAGGACACAGGATGGACAGGTAGAGGACAGGTACAGCAGAAGCAACCGGTTCACAACTACCTGAACTGAGAGTTCTTTGTCACTGAATGAGATAAATCTTTATATTCTTCAATCTTCACTTAGATTGACCTTCTCAGCACATAACGGAAAGAGCTGCCAATCTTCTTCTGCTATCTGTTTTTAACCTAACTGAATTCCTACATCTGGTTCACCATGCAACTTTTGAAGTTGCATTAGCATAGAGAGAGAAGTAGGATTTAAAACAAAAGATGCTGTAGTAGGATGGAACTCCAGTTGAAATGAACATGCTTGAAGCTATGTCCTGATCTAAAAAGGGAACATTGGCTGGTGTTTTGAGAAAGGGAGGGGTCATGGTCTTTTAACAGGATGAGTGGGGGAAGAAATTAAGCTCGAAACACCTTTTCCCAGCCTGCATATCATTCCATCAATTTTTAAGCAATTTACTGACACCATAGTTATGCACTGCTAGAGAAATGCAGAAAAAGTCTATGTTAAAATCAGCTGTTTACTTCCCAAGTCCTCCAGGAGTTACACTGCTTTCAAAATAGATACAAATTTAAGAAGTGATATTTTATTTTGATGAAACCAGACAGCCTAAAGTATATGCAGTTTTATTGCTCAGATCAAAAGTTGTCTAAATTAGTATGGTTTGTTGACAAACCAATAGTTTTGAAATACACATGAACTTCTTTACCGGTCATATTTAAGGCTCTTTTTTCTCTTGATTCCTCTAGGAATACATCTAGTTGGGTTTTAAGCTAACTTGAAGGCTTTGATCTCTGACTTAACATTTAGAGTATAAGAGCTGGATACAGCTTTTAGCTGGTATTAATGTCCTAAATATTTGTGTCTTCGACTATGTCTGGAATACATACCAGGGATTTTAAGAATGGTTTTCAGAATCATAGATACTGGCTGATTTAAATATTACATTTTAAAATGCAGTTTCGAAACACAACCCTGGGGATGGAATGCCCGGATGTTATCTCAGAAATACCAAACTCTGAAAAAAAGATAATTTTTTGTGAAACAACATGCCAATGTTAAGTTACACAGTTTGTTTTAATAAACTTCATGAAATTCAGAATTTGTATTTCTCAGTTAATTCCAGGATTACTCTCATTTACTATCCTATTTTGAATATGTCAAAAGCATGGCAAGAGATGGCAACCAAAGCGAACCTTATCTGAATAAAGGGATTTATTCTCCCAGACAACTAAATATATATGTTGCTATCTTTGTGTCTATATCACTGTGTGTAAATGCATGAAGAAACAGAGGTTATAGAAAGGCATATTTTCCAATCCCTTTCAAGTGTGTTTTGTTTGTAATTAAATGATGGTGACAGATAAGAACATTTAAGTCTAAAAAATTATAAACTGTAATGCCTTACTTAACTGAATAAAGACTTCCTACCTGTACAACCTGGTAAGCGTTAGTCTCATTGAGCACCAGTTCAGTAATTGCAGCACAACAAGCTAGAATAAAAATTCAAGTGTAACATTTAGGGCCAGATCATAAAGATACTCAGATAGTGTGGAGAGTTAACCTTAGCTAAGGGCCAAATGCCCATCCAGCTGCTCATTCACTCCCCTAACAGGACAGCGGGAGAAAATAGGATGGGCCAAGATAAAGACAGAGAGATTGCTTACCAGTTACCATCACTGGCAAAACAGACTTGACTTGGCAAAAATTTATTTATTTCCAATTAAAATAGATTTTGATAGCAAAAAAAAAACAAAGACAAAAAAATTAAAACACCTTCTCTCCCACCCCATCCTTTTTTGCCTCCAGATTCTTCTTCTCTCCTTCACTCCTGACTCCTCTACCTGGATCTAGTGGATGAGGGTTACAGTCAGTATCGAACAGTTCCACTCTGCCTGCTCCTTTCTCCTCACACTTTTCCCCAGCTCCAGTGTGGGGCCTCTCCACATGCTGCAGCACGAACACCTACTCCATCAAGGTCACTCCCATGGGCTTGCAGGGGAATCTCTGCTCTGGTGTGTAAAGCACCTCCTCCCCCTCCTTATTCTCTGACCCTGGTGTTTGCATTGCTGTTTCGCTGTTTCTCACACCACCACTTTTTTTTTTTTTTTTTTTTTTTCCCTCCCTCTCCTCCTCTGCTTGTACAGCATTTTTGTCCTTTCTTAACTATCTTTTCACAGATGCATCACTGACTTTGCCGATGCGCTTAGTTTTGGCCAACAATGCATCTGTTGCGGAGCGAGCTGGAGCCAGCTGTGTCCAGCACAGGGCAATGCCTTACCTCTTGCCAGAGAGGCCACTGCTGCAGGCCCTCTGCTAACAAAACCTTGCCACCTACACCCAATACAGAAGGCTAAAAATATAAACAAATAGTCAGAAAAAAGACCTCTCTAAGTTCAATGCTTATTCTTTCTTATGAGTCCTTAAGGAAGGCAGAAGTAACGCAAAAATACTCTCCACATCGGCAGTACTTCTGGTAGTGCAATTTATTTCACATTACCAGCTCTTCAGGGGTAACATCCATGACAAAATATTCAGAAAAAATTATTTATTAAATCACACATTTAGAAATAAACACTGCTAACTTGGTGCTCCTAATCCCTAAAGCAGGTATAAAAGTTTACAACTTCAGTTTTGAAATATTTTGAATCCCTTTGTGCAAGTGTAAGCAAACACCTAACAGAGGATTAGGCTTTATAAACCAACCTGCTTGAAGTGAGAAAGTATTTTCTTGCATCTCATCAGGACTCAGATCACCTGACAAATGCAGATGTTGGATTCTCCCTGCTGCATTTGCACTAGATAAACTTCCAACTGAAGAGCGATCAGAAACAAGATTTCTTTCTCTGGAAAAAAAGAAAAAAATCAAATTGCAGTATATAAAAAAAAAAGGCTTAACATATCTTCATTAATAATTTCTGAATATCTGAAAATTTGTGGTTTGTCACTAAATTAGCTAATACACTTTGAAAAAGCAAACAGACCTTTAAACAGAAAATTCCTTTACCACGTTCATCGATTAGATTCACAATTGTCTGCTTAATAAGGAAACTAAGTAGAAAGTAATGACATTTATATTCTATTCATTATTTAGTTTATACAACTGAAAATATGAAAAACACCTTAAGATAGAAATGAAACATGCATAGCTGAAAAAAAAGCACTGTGTATTCATTTTATGTTCTAAATAGCCTTTAATTTCTGCAGTCATCACATACAGCTGAACAAAACAAAGATTCTATTTGATAAATGAGGGCTTGGTCAAATATATCTTAAAATATGAAAGAGTCCCAAATAATTGCCACAGTGTTGAGGACTGAAAACCTACCCCTGTAATATATGAAGGAGCTGTTTGATTCCCCCCCAAATCCGGATTTCCACACTAGTCTCAGGATCTTCACAAACCTGTACCAGAATCCAAACTATACTCCATAAGAGTTTGATATGATCAGAATGAAGTAAACTGAGCAAGACTGGAACTCCTTTACACATTTTTACTTGCTCTTTGACTTGTGACTCTGCACAGAGGAGACGTAGCAACTCTGCTGTAAGCCTAAAAAAATCAGCAAGAAATTTTAGTAAGTCCATCATTACATTGTATTGTCAGATAGCAAAGGGAAAAAAATACAGCAAATGTTTAAGAACAGAGACTTCCTATAATAAAAGAATGTAAACTGCTTAAAGTCACTGGTTAAAAAAGAAAAATACAAAGGTCCAAATTTTCAAAAGGGATTAAATTATATTTATATTGAGTTTGACTGTCAGCATAGGCAGCCAAGCACCCACAGCCAGGATGGAGGTGACCAAGTGGAATGCAGTCATCGGGTACCACCACCTTGTTAATGAAATTAGTGCTATAAGTAGCACTGACTGCATGAACTTGTAAAGTCCATCTGTGGAATCAGAATAACTCCAAAAGTAACAGTGATTCTTCTCCAGTATGGTTTCAATATTATGTTTAGAAAAGGGATTGAGTATATCATTTAAAAGGTTTATACAATAATTTAATTAACTTCACTCCAATTAAGGTGGACTTTCCATAGAAAATATGGTTAGGGATTTCCACTTAAAGCAAAAAAGCTCCATGTGTGTTTGATGAAATATATGAATTCAGATTCATATCTGAATTTAAAATTATTCTTAACTAGCATTGAACTCCATCAGCTTCCTGTCTACATTCAAATTCCAAACTTTTAGTTTATGTATAATCTAAATAATTTCAAACCCAGAAACTAAATAAAATCTTCTGGTATATTTATTCAATTTCTTTAATCATATGTTAAAAAATTTTACATGTGTGAAATAGTTAAGCATGAAATTTTAAAAATCTCTTCAGAATTTTAAATGTGATAGGATGTGACAGATTATCAAATCTGAATCTTTTGGTTTCTTACTGAAATGCAGCTGAGATGAGAGGACATTTAAAGAACTGAAGGAACCTTTATGATTTTCTGATTGAAGGGATGTAGGGTCTGACCCAGTCTTTGGCATAAACTACAACAGCTGTATGTCTTGCAATTTTTCACTAGTTTATATTGGGCATCCCAGGAACTGTCAGAGATCAGCGTGCTTTCCATTTAACCACTCGGGTCTGCCAGAAGCAAAGAGGAGATGCACCAAGAAAAGTGATTGCTATCACTTTATCATAACACTGCAATTTCTTTGCACCGTACTGTAGGCCATCCGTGGAGAGAGAGAAGACAGCTTATAATCAAACTACTGGAAAAGATTTTGCTATATCAATACCTGTCTGAAATTACATAGGTGTCAGAACTTTACCTTGAGCACATTAAAATGGCACATTATCTAAGTCCTCTAAATAAACATGCCCTTAAATGAAAAAGTCAAAATATATTTTAAAACAATTAATCTACAAGCGAAGTCTCACCTTTTAGAAAGCAAATCGTATTCATGTAATATCACCAGCAAGTTCTCAACAATGGTGAGCTCACTTATCTTCTCCCTACATTCTGGACTACAAATTGATTATTCCTGGTGTTTATATCAAATTAAATTATATTAAAAACCCCACATTGCTCATTAGCCTCCCTCCTTATACATTTGACCAATTATTTTTTTCTCAAGTCTTAAGTAATAATATAATATTGTGCACACAAATACTTAAAGCCACAAAGATATGCTGGGACAAGAGTGACAGCGCAACAATTACCAGTTTTCCCAGTACAAAAAAAGTAAATGTGAATGCATAGAAGTAAAGACAGAAACTTTTTTTTTCATGCTAGAAAATAAGTAAATGAGGTACATTTTTAAGAATCTACTACAATTTCCATGAATATTTGAAATATTCTCCAAACACTTCCTTGCCCAGTCCAAACGTAGCACATTTAATTCTGTGAAGAAAGTTAAATGACAGTTGAAAATATATGTGCAACATTATTTAAAGTAATACTGGTATTTTAAAAAATTTAACTGAAATAGAATGGAAGAAATTTGGGAAAAGAGAAAATCCAGAGAAATCTTAGTAAATTAATTTCTACTGATCTCAAGGAACTGTATCTATTCTCTTCTCTTTAAATTCTCATTTAAAAGATAAAATGGTTAATACAAGTCTGGAAGCCAGCAGAACAATAATGTAGAAGCAGCAGCTTTTCTTCTGTAATATTATTAAGGATGAAAGATACTGTATCTTCTTTTTCCGTTTTTTCCCTCCACAGCAGGGAAAAAAAAAAAAAAAAAGTGTCTTGTTTAAAACAGTCATTAGTGAAGAGAGGATACATATACATCGATTTAGTGAAGAAAGGACACGTATACATGGATTTGAGTGTGTGCATTCAACATTTACTACATTGGACAATATTCTTGCTGGTTATTGTGAGGCACTGTTATATTAAGCTCAGCACAAAAGATTTTTATATGCAGGAATTCAATAAGAATTCCAGAATCCTGCATAGCGATTGCCAAGAGAGATTCTATAACTCCAGCCTTGCTAAGTTCTCCGCATAAGCAAGGACCAAAAGTATCTACTTAGTTTCTGCTGATTCAATATAAAATTAAGCACACTTCGTAGACCTCCACAGAACAAGACCTCATTCTGAAAAAAAAAAAAAAAAAAGGAAGCCTTCCCCATAAACAGCAGTCATAATATTGTGTCAAGAGATAATATTAAAATGCAACACATTAAATTGAACCTACCTTTCTGCTAGGCTAGTCAGGGCAAGAAGGGCACCCAAAAGCACATTGCTCTCTCTGGCGGACAACAAATTTACTAAGGTCTAGAAAATTAAACATATACAAGATAAATAAATATGAATTATATTCTTTTCCTTTACTTACACCTAGATCAAATCTGAAAAGCATAAGTCATTCAGTTAAGTAGCTAATTGGTTATAATTAGCAATTTTGTAAAGCACTTACTTTATGTGCTCCACTTGCTATAACCCATTCTCTTTGATCTTTGGCAGCAGCAAGCTTTTGGAAAATGTCTATGGAATAAAGGAAGTCACATAAATTCAAGCTTTACCACTTACTGTTTTCCATTTTACTAATCAGATAATAAAGCAAAACACTGGATAAGTTCTCTGAACCATCACTACCTCATTTTACTCCTGTTATTTAGGTTCACAAAGAGTTATGAATTTCTTAAAGAAATATTACTTATGTACGAAACCAAGATGTGGTTTTCCACAGCAATTGCAGTTTTTACTTGTGTGATGATGCCTACAATGAATTGCTTACTTAATGACCATCTCAAGTATTTCAAACATATTAAGACGCACACAGAAAGTTATAAGTGCCCTTATAATTTATGTTATCAGCTACAACACTTACATGTCATGTTGACCAACTTGTCTACATTATGCTGCTCTTCTCCATGATCAAGATAGCCATTTGCCACTGTTTCCATATGCTACAAGTAAGGGGGAAAAAATAAAGGATACCGTTAAAATAGTTTTAATTCATGAACCTAGAGTGTTATGCATATAAATAGCCTCTAGGTGGTGCATCTGTATCACGAAAAAAGTACGTCTGCACCATCCCACATACTTTTGCTGTAAAATTTGTCAGGGAACAGAAGAGATCTTGGAAGTGTAAGAATTCAAAAAGCAAGTGTAAAATTCCACAAGAGGAAAATCTACTGAAGACTATCAATTACAACGACCCTAAATCTTTTCTGAGGATTTATCACTCATGTTTCTGCTCTCAAACTTTTTCCTCAGTATCTACTACTAGGCCCTGTTTGGAACATCCAGATAGATCTTCACTCCACACAGCTGACAGGCTCAGACTCTATAAAGCCTACACTACACAACTGCAGGGGGGGGATGTTGGTTTTTTTGTTTTGGGTTTGGTTTGGTTTTTTTTTTTGAACATAGCAAACTGGTGAGAAATGGTGGTCAATGTTTTTTAATAACCTATATTTTTCCAGGACATGAGAATTATCACAAGAATGCAATGTTTGTTAGCACACAAAATCATTATATGATTCTCAGCATATATTGGTCTTACATATGGTGGCATTTTGAAATTTCCAGAACACTCTATAGGGAAACTGCAGCAGTTTCAAGCAGATGATACAGAAAGGCTAGAACTATAGTAGTAGCACATAATTTAAGGAAGAAAACTCACATGAAGAGGACAGTGCTATGCAAATATTGGTTAAAATAATTTTATCAGTGTTTTCTACTAAAACACCCAAAAATCCTCGAGGAAAGTTTTTTTTAATCTGAAACTGCCACCCCCTGAAAAAAAAAAAAAAAAAAAAAAAAAAAAAAGGTTTTTAATGCTGTATAAAATAGTCTAATGGAGGACTTGAGACTTGTGATTTGGCAAGAAGTTTTGAATGTACAATTGACCTTAAAATCACTGCCACCCTGCAAATTTCTGAGGGATTTTTGAAAGTCTCAGCTATAACTTTTTCTCAAGCTGCATTTCAGAGTGCTGGAGACACATTTAACAATTTTATCTCACTGCAAAGGACACAAAAGATTAAGCTTCCCAGAAGTTCAGAAATTTTAAATTCTCTATGCCAGCAACACACGCACAATAAAAATTATTATCAGTTATAGGATTTGGATTCTAGCCACTGAGGACTCCACTCACAGGTGTCACCAACGTCACACCTCAGGCTATTGTGCAAGTTCCTCAAAAAGTATGGCTAAGCATTAATGACATGCAACACTGGAAAACACCAAGCAGTTCCTGTGGGAACTCTATCCATTAGAAAATAACAGTCTTTAACTCCTGCAATTTAAGTGACGTTTCAAACAGATGATTGGTTGTCTGACTAAAGGGCTCATAGCACACTATCGGTTCTTTGAAATACAGGTGGCTCCAATAAATATTAATAATGACTGCATTCTAGAAAGGTACATTTATTTTTGTTCTAGAAAGAAAACTCCCAACAGTTTCAAAGATATCCAAGATACGCCATATCTCACTGCTAAATTGGTACTGATGAACAAGTATTAAAAACCCAAGAGTAAAGCAGTATTAACACAGAGAAATAGCAATACAGCAGTCAGTTATCAACAATATTTTGGAATGCAGAAGTACTGCATTCCCCAAATTTAAACCTGTTCAACATTCTATTACTATGCTTTTAAATTTGAAAAGTCATTTGCTACAGTCCAAGGTGACTTTACTCATCTTCCTTCAAAAGTCTACATTTCTTTTGCCTAAACCAATTGTGGTGACTTTTCTAATCCTTCTCCCACTTCAGGAGGCGTTTGTTACGCTTCCTACCTAGAAGTCCTGGGTTAATGCTGCTAGATCATAAGGACAGTTGCTTTCTACACTAGTGAAAAAGCCACTAGTGAAAAGCTTATACACAAAGGAACAGACTCATTTCTTTCCATAAACCAAGAATATGTGTACACTGCTTTTTACAGTGTATTTCATTCTAATAACAATAAATTGATATACAACATAATGGTCAAAGGTATCATGAAGAATACTACCTGAGCTAGATTTTCAATCCCACCCAAGCTGTGGAGCATTTCCTAAAACAAAATAAAAAAAATTTTTAAAACTGAGTCAAAATACAAAAAGCACTAGAATGAGAGAATACTAGAATGTAAATGCTCTGTTTGTTATGAATGTTGAGAAACCTTAACTCCAGTGGTCGAAGTCATTGGATTCTGGAGATGCTTATTACCTTCAGAGTAGATAAATCAAAACACAGAAGTGAAATTTTAAAGGTTCTAACCTGGAAAAACACTATAAGCTTTGGAACACATAAAAAATAAATACAAAAGCCAAGTATCTTAGCAGATGTCTGAGGCTTAATCTTATGAATAATAACTGTAATAGCCAGAATAAAATTTAAAGCTAGTTGTTTGTAGTTCAGAGCATTGGGCTGCTAGGAGAAATAACCAGCTTTCAGTTTTCTTCACTTCTCTTCCACGTTATGGGAATTTTACATATCCATTTAGTAAAGTCAAGTATGAAGTCTAGGGCTCTAAGCAATGACCAAGTGACCTGTTACGGAGATTTACAGGTTCTTTGTTAGGGTTAGCAACAACAGATACTACATAAGAAATATCAGAAATTGAGCAAGTTATGAAGTAACAGCACAAATTGACTCTTGGAATCTGTTTGCAAATCGGACATTCACATATAGAAATATAGGTACATACATATAATAAATATGCATCCATAAGAATGCATGTTTTTATACACACGCACCAACTCATATGTGTGATGCTTATATGCATTCTTTTATCGAAGCAAGAAACAACTTTTCGACATACTGACCTGATAGCACGGATCCCTTATTAATAATCTCAGACAGATTAATACTCTAAGAAAATGGATGGATGGAGCTTGATTAACCCACTCTCTGTAAATGAAATATTCAAAACATAAATACAATAAAAAAGTGTTAAAACACTTAAATAAAACACTTTGATTTGGGAATCGACTAGAAGATTACTGACGTACAACAGGTCTATAACATACTATAGTATAGAACTTTTAATACCATTTGTATCTAAATATAGTAAGTTTTAAATAAATTTATTTAATCATATGAACATTGCCAGCCATAGCTTACTATCACTGGAAAGTACTTGCTTATCTCTAAGCACAAACTGATCGATACTGCTTTGATATAAACTTACTTTAAATGTTTTTATCAAGGCTCAAAAGGACAAAATCACTGAGAAACCACAAATCAAACTTCAGTGCACAAATTACAGTTATGTAAAAACATGGGCACTACAGAAGTAAAAATAGCTAGATTTGAAATTATTTTTTAAATTATAATAATCTATGCTGGGTTTTAAAAACTCTAATACTATTAGTCCTCACGATAATTTGTTCTTTAGTTTAAATGTTCTTGATATAGGATTATACTTCCAAATAGAACTCGCTCTTTTATATTTCTCCATACAGAACTTGCTCTTTTATATTTCTCCATACAATTCCCCAGTGCAAGACTTGGCAGAAAACACAACTCTGATTTGCACACATCATCCAGGGGCAGTAATCCTGCGTAAAATACCAGTAATGGAATCACTATTTCCATTGTCTGTTGAAGGTGTGTGTGTATATATATATATATATATACACACACACACACATCCATCCCCATTTTCCTACTTAAAATAAACTAAAATTGGAAATCTTTGTGGGGTTTTGTTGTTATTTGAACTGAGAGAACAGAATTTGTAGTATCCGGGCAATTTTCCAAGGAACAGAAGAAGTCTATGGGACATGGCAGTTCTCTTCCCTTTTTATCGTTTGCAGTTGGGAATGACGCCAATAGCTAAAAATATTTTGATAAAAATAAATGTTCTACAAATAGATATTAACAAAATCTCATCCCTTCTATGCCAATATTCTGCCCAAAGTAATACTATTTTTCATTACGATTCCATAATTGGCCACTTCAGAACGGCACAAAACTTTCATGGAAAGAAAACAGCAGCCATAAACCTGTAGGCAAATTTGTAGGTCAGATTTTAAAGTGGCATGAAGATCATTACCATGGTGGTTCAACAAAGCCATCCTTTCAAGATTTGACTCTTGACAGAAGTCTGTTTCTTTAATGGAGGAACATATCTGTCATGTTTCCATGCTGGGACAGTAATTCTCTGAGCCTGGTTAACACCTGAGAGCCTCTTCTACTAAGTTACCATTTACAATACACATTACTAGATATCTTAGTGCATATCCAGCATATGCCAGCAGGATTTTTTCTGCCTGCTTAATTATACTCCTTATCCAAACTACTTAAGCTAAGCTGATCACAGCTTTCTTGTCGACAGAACTACCTCCAAGCAGGACTTCTGCTGACACAGTGATGCCAGTAAGTGGGTGTCACTTTTTTCTTCCACCCCGACCAACATAGTTATGCCAGCAGAAGTATGTAATACAAATCAAGGTGACAGTTTCTAAGGCTCTGACACAATGCAATGGCAGTAGTTTCAAACAGAAGACATCATTACACTCATAATAAAATATTTACAAAGGGCAACTAAACCACCTTTGTAACTGCACTTAACTTACAGGTTTTACATATCTACTAATAATTGTATGTTTCGTTAACCTTACCTGTTGCTTTTATTTTAATACAAGATGCTGGCTTTGCTACATTGTTATCATCAACAAGTACCAAAGAAAACAAAAAACAAAATATGAGCTAGGTATGCAACAATGTATAAATAGAACGTGGGAAGACATAAAGTAAGTTATTCTTAGATTTTTGGCAAATGAAGCTGAGCCACTGACATCCCACTGGTGGGTACTGAGATGACAAAGTTCACTTGCAAAAAATGTACCACATTTACAAATCACTTAAATTATTGGTCTTTAACTTGCTACTATTTAGATAATCAAAAATGAGATCCCTAGTTTCCTACATAGTTATGAAAAAAAGGATCTAACCAAACTATGTGATTATTTTGGTGATTTTTAGGTTCTTTGTAAATTCTAGCAGTTACGCATTAATACCTTTAAATGCTCTAGGATTGGTTCTTTAAGATTCTGTACCACTTAAGATTTCTTCAGAAAGCGTACTTGGGCTTTAAACAGGAAAAATACAATACACTGCGGTGGCGTATAGTAAAATATATCCTGAAAAATGCATTCCTTTTTTCAGATAATATCTTTTTGTGCCCCCACTGGATTTTTTTAAGGTCTTAAATTACTCCTCCCTCAGATGGGTGTAGCATAAGAAAGGGTTTTCCCTTTCTAATCCTGTTATACACATGATTACAAATAAATATGAACAGCAGCATAAACTCATCTGAATTTTATGAAAGTCACTGACCTTTCTACATGAAGGCAGGAGTCCATAAAATACAAGTAAAATCAGTAAAATAAAATTAGAAAAGCAAACCACAGATGACAGATACCAGATATGGACAAAGCATCAAGGAAACATAGCAGCTGTTAGAACTTCGGTCATCCAGGTTTTGTCATATACCAAATCTTTCCTTCTTCCATCCCACTAACCCAAGCATTCGGTCTTTAAAGCCAATAAGGAAGTGATTGTTTAAAACAGATTATGCAGAGATGTGAAGCTGGTAGTTTCAACACAGAGGGCTATTGTTGAAACATATATGCCGTATACATTGTTGAAACAATATGAAGTATTATCCATGTATCTCGGTTCTTCACTTAAGGCAAGAAAGAGTGACCCCCCCCTTCTTGGATACAAATGTGTTCAATATACTGACCTGCAGGCAAGTCTGTTCTTAACTAAAGCTGTAAAGATCTCTTGAAACACTTTATGTTTGGGATGTTTGCTAAAATTTCTCTCATTCTTGTAGGTCACACTAATGGGGGGGGAAGAAAAATGCTGAATTAGTAATTATCTTGCCACAAGATAATTTTAACATTGTCAAAACTTAACATTAGCAAGAAAAATTAAGAAATGTCGTATCAGCTGTTACTATGGAATAACACCATTTCAGATTTCCAGACAGTAACAGTATGGAAGAACAGTCTGCCTCATGCATCATTTGGGGCTTTATAACAGTATAATATAAGCTTTCCAAATAAAGAAACCTTTACATTATTTAAATGTACTATATTAACTCTCAAGAGCTGAGTGGGAGCATGTGCCTGAAACTTAGAAAGGCAGAAACATTCACAGACAAGTTTAGAAAGTCAAAAATATATAATTCGTATCTTGGATAATGGGTTAACATGAAAGTACAAGTAACAGACATAAGTACAAATATAAATGCCTTCAACACCTCAGCAAGATTTAGATACGTAAAGATGATCAGAGATACAACAGAGCATCTTATTAGCTTTTTTTTTTTTTACCTGAAGTTTTCAAGCTCAACAGCTTCTGTTGATTCTTGCCATTGACTACGGCGGTTTTGTTCATTTCTGTTGACATTTTGCCAATCTCTTGTCACACTGGTTTGACCACTTTCAAAATGTAAACCTAGAAGCTAAGGAGGAAAGGGATAGTACTCATGAGGCGAATTTTGAAATTAAAATTGCATTTTAATTTTTTTAAGAATGTTATCAAGCAAAAGTACCTTTTCTCAAGTTCTAACTTGAACATTGGACCTATAAATTGACATTATAAAATTCACACACCCTCCATGCAAAACACAGCCAACATGGTAGAAAACTGATGCAAAGCAAGGCTGGAAAACAAGTACATGAAGATATATAAAATGTGAAGAACTATGTCTTTTAAAATTTATAATAGTAAAGCTCCATTGAACCTGCAACACATTATCTACGCTCCTTACCTGTCCCAATTTTACAATTGCACAGCTTTTATTTTCTTTTTCAGTTGTAGAACTCGGATGTTTCAGCTTACTGCTCAGAAGCAATTCCATGCCTCTATCCAGGAAGGGAGTGCGTAACTCCTGCCTCACATGGATGACTCCCTAAGTAATTTTGTCATATCTTTTTACAGAATAGAAAGGGAAAAAAATGTTCTGGCATTCCAAGGACTCACACCCATCATCATGTATTGGTTTTCTTTGCTTCAAATGGTAAATAAAAGCTTTGCTAAGTGAGTTGAGGTGAAGGAGATTTTACTGTGTCCTGTAATTTTCATGCATTGATATTTATGCCCTGAATATTTTTAGCTGAAGTATTACTCTCCAAAGACAAATTGTTCATAGTCCAAATGCTGATCTTATTTTATATTCTTTAACACTCTTCATCATGTTTTATCTAATACATCTCTAAGCCTACCTTCTTGTGACATTGTGGAAGGGCATAGAAGAAAACAAATCTGTTAGGCTACTTGCCTATATGTAACAATAGCTGCTCAAGATACAAAACAAAGCTATTTTTTTCATGTTAAAATAAAAATTACAGCAGAGTAGAAAAGGAAGTGGGTCGGTTTCATTCCTTTACCCTTTCTAAATGGGATTTGTCCCACAGAGAAGCTCTAACAGTGCCAAAAAGAAGATATCCTCTACACAAGCTTTTGCTAGTATGTTTAATCATAATGAAACACAATATCCTAAGCATCTGCCACAAACCATAATCACCATTACTGATAATTATACAATTTTACACCGTGTTTAATAACAGTTATTGAAAAATACCTGTTGGTTCCTTGACTGAACGTTTAAGAGAGACTGAAGTCTTTTAAGATCAGAATAATCCCTAGGATAAAAAGCAATAGCATAAATATATGGGTTAACAGTTACATAAAAGTAATTCTGTAAGAGCGAAGAAGGTCAACAAGCAACAACGCTACTGACAGAAAAGAAAGTTTTCTAGTGTTGCTTAGTGTCCCCATTTTGTGTACAGAATTTATACCTTCTCCAGAATGCCTTAAATCAACAAAGGTGTAAATAAACTTTGTGACCAGAGTAACAGTTGTCATGTTTATAATGCATTCCAAATTAAAGCATTCTGCTTTGGCAGCTAGTGCAAATTCCACACGGGTCCTGCTGAAGTTCAAAGGAAGATGTCTGAGACTATACCTCACAGAGTTCCCACGAGGTTTTCTGTCTGTTGCTTTTTCTGTGTTCTTCAATTTTTTGTCCTGGTCAGGCATTGTGTACCACTATTATCATCACATTTCCTTAAAAATAAAGTAGATAGATAGAATTATATCATTGTAGCAAAAGAAACATGTTTATTTACAGAACCAACTGTTATAATTTTAAGAAAAAAAACCAGCTTCACCATTTTCTCAGTATGAACTCTTGGGCATTATATGAGGATACCCTTTAGAATTCCAGATATTAACAAGAAAGTAATTAACCTAACATAGAGAAACCTCAGTTTCTCAACATATGGCTAGATAATACTGTCTGTCTTGCTATTGCATGTATTTTTTATTAGGACTTTTCCTCCTCTTCTTCTTGAATCTTATTACCATTATTTCTCACTGTAGATTGGCTATTTATGTTACAGCAGTGCTTACAGGTTGGCATCAAGGTTGTATCATACAAGCTGTTGTCCAGACAACAGAAGATATAATAGTTTTATCATCTAAATAAATAAGACAGGTGAAGGGTAGAAAAAGGAGGTATCTGACAAATAAATGAGATGCATACATCATGCAGTCTACCAAAGAACCAGAAATTTTCAGCAGTTTGGAATGTGAGTCTTATGAATTTCAGCTGAATGTCTTGTACTAATAGCACGCAGCTTTCCTTGCAGTGGGACACACGGCTTATTTCCACAGATGATGGTGTTCCTCAGGGGTTGGTGTTGGGACCAGCGCTGTTTAACACCTTTGCTGGTGACACGGACAGTGGAACTGAGGGCACCCTCAGTGCGTCTGTCAATGACACCAAGCTGTGTGGTGCAGTCGACACACTGGAGGGAAGGGATGTGCCACCCAGAGAGACTTGGACAGGCTGGAGAGGTGGGATCGTGCAAACCTCACAGAGCTCAACAAGGCCAAGTGCAAGGTCCTGCACATGGGTCGGGGCAATCCCAAGCACAAATACAGGCTGGACAAAGAGTGGATTGAGAGCAGCCCTGTGGAGGACGTGGGGGTAGTAGTGGATGGAAAAGTGACTATGAGCCAGCAATGTGCCCGTTACCCAATGGGCCCAGAAAGCCATGGTATCCTGGGCTGCATTAAGAGAAGTGTGGCCAGCAGGTCAAGGGAGGGGATTCTCCTCCACTACTTGTAAGACCCAACCTGGAGTCCTGTGTCCAGTTCTGGGGTCCCCAGCATAAGGACATGGACCTGCTTGAGCACGCCCAGAGGAGGCCACGAAGATGATCAGGGGCTGGAGCACCTCCCCAATGAGGACAGGCTGAGAGTTGGGGTTGTTCAGCCTGGAGAAGGCTCTGGACAGACCTTATAGCGGCCTTCCAGTACTTAAAGGGGGCTACAGGAAAGATGGGGAGGGACTCTGTATCAGGGCATGTAGTGATAGGATGAAGGGTAACAGTTTTGAACTGAAAGAGGGTAGATTTAGATTAGATTAAGGAAGAAATTCTTTACTGTGAGGGAGTGAGACGCTGGAACAGGTTGCCCTGGCAGTGTTCAAGGTTGGGTGGGTTGGACAGGGCTTTGAGCAACCTGGTCTAGTGGAAGGTGTCACTGCCCATGGCAGGGGTTTGGAACTGGATAATCTTTAAGATCCCTTCCAACCCAAACCATTCTATGATTCTATGATGAACAGAGCTGTATGGCCTGGCCTCATCAGGGCCATTACCATGTATTAGATCCACTGCAGACACATACTCAGTCTGTAGGTCTGACTTCCCACAGAAGCCCAGTTTGTTGATTGCATAGTATACAGTATTTGTTCACTGAAAACCTTATAAAGCTCAAGAAAGAGATAGACAGACATGGACAGAAGGTAGTCAGGAATCTCTTGCTCGCACAAAAACGATCATATTGATGTAGAACCTGCTCTGCGTGAAAATGGATGGTCAGGAGCAGGCTGGGACTGAAGAATTATGTCAGAGAATTGCATACAGCTGCAACATATTGGTAGAGCCTCTCTGATTTGAAAAACAAGGATACAATACCACTGTCTAACCCTTTCTACCCATTTTACTATTCATTAAACAGGATCGTTTGGATGTTCCCTTTGGTGTCTCTTTAATAGGATTTTCCATATGAAATATGACAGCCTCCTTTTCTCTTTGTGCAGTGTAGGATTCCTCTGCTATTGATTCTTATTCCTCTTCATAAAGGCAAGGAAGAAAACCTGGCAGGAAACAAAAGCATTGTAAACTACCTGAAGTTGCTGCTTCCTGACTGCAAATCAGAGTTATTTTCCCAATTACACATTCTTGCAACAGACACAGAACTACCCAAAATGCAACTGTTGACAGTATTAACTCATGTGCTATATTAATTCCCTCTGGCAAGTGGCCTGTAAACTCAGTTCATCCATTTGTATTCTTTTGAACAAGTCTTTACCCTACCCCAGTACACCACAGAGAATGATTGACCTGAATCCCCAAGAAATTCCTCCTCTCCTCTCCACACAGGCATTAACAGAGTTATTAAAGAACACCTCAGAACACTTCTGTTGTACCAGTTATCACCAATGAATATAAACAGGATCTGTTCTAGCAGTCAACAGACAAAATTCCTGAATTCAATCAAATGAAGTTAGTTCAATTAATTTACTTCCTTTGCTTCAGAAGCAGTAAAAGAGAACCCATGTATATTGCTAAGCGTGTTTATGTATCCTCATGAGCAAGAACTTCCATGTATCGTTTTAGTAATATTTGTATTTTATAACCTCTTCGCAATATCCCAATCCATTTAGCACATTACTGAGGCTGACACAATGCAATCATCACCTCACATTTGCATAGTAACAAATACTCAGAAATTATCAACTTGCTTATGAGTATGTGTGTACAAAGAACAGATTTTAACCAATTAAAGAATCACTAAAACCACACACAAACCAACTTGTTCATGAGCAAATTCAGTTAAATCTTCAAATTTTCAGCATCCCATTTAAAAATTAATCCTTGGGTTAAACCTTTAAACCATAAACAGCAGGATTACCAGTACAGCTAGGATTTAATACATGTGATTATTTACAAAATCTTAGAACTGTAGACCAACCCTTGCATTAGGGCTGCCAGTCCAGTGCTTTTGCTGTTTGCGGTGAAAACAGAGTAACTGCTGACTAGTATTTTAAAGGTTCATTGCCATTACAGATCCAAATGTCCCTGTACAAAATTGAACCTGAAAACATCAAGCCAAACTCCCTTCACTGCAGCTCACCCAAGGATGCAGCGCTCACCCAGCTCTAAGAATGCATCCTGAGGTTACCTATTCTCTACAGGTCACTAAGCCAGCAAAAGTCAGTAAGCGCTTCAACAAAGAGAGGCCAATTCTGGCCACAAATGGACCCTGCGCAACCCCTCTGGGCTGGCAGCACAGCATCACCAGGGGTGCACAGCTCACGGGACTGGGAAACTTGATTCAGGTTACAAACAAATCTCTCCTACTTTAGCCCTGATTACCTTATAGCTTGTCCCCAGGTACTTCTACTGTACAAGGACAATATGCAGAAAGGAGCATTTATCCATGCAGCTTAAATTGTTGTACCCTTCCACTTTACTACTGAGATAAACCAATTAATTAACAGCCAACTGCTGCTGAAAATGGCAAATCCTTTCACTTTCCCTTTCCTTCACTTCTCTTTCCCTTCCCCCTCCCCCAACCTCAGCCACTCCCCTCCACTTCAGCTGATCTGATCCAAACCTGAGCCAGTTCAGAGTGCCAAACACGGCAGAAAATAATATGCCTGCCTTTGTTTTGTTGATTTTCTACCAATTTAGCTCACTGTTACAGTGGCCTGATGAGTATCTGTGCTGACATGGCAGGGGGCAAGAACACACAGCTGTAGAGGGAGAAGAGCAGAAACCCCTTTCATCAGCAGCCAGTCATTAAATCAGGTAGGTGTATTATCACCACACCCTGAGTGAGGGGTAGACAAAAGGAAGCAACCCCCTAGTTTTTTTTGTATCAGCCATAAAGCTGAGAGAAAACAGACATGAAATATCTTACCTATTCTCACAGTTACTTTCTTGAAATCGAAAAGTTCCCACCCCTGTGTTCCTTCTTTACTCCTGCCAGCAGAAATTTCCATGGAGCCAGGCTATTCACTATCCTTGTAACTATCCCTCAGCTATTAAGCCAGCCATGAGTAATGTATAAGAAACAAACCAAACAACACTTTGATTGTGCCAGAAAAAGATTTGAGAATAGACAACTCTTTAAAAAGAACAGAAACACATTAAAAAGGAAATGTCTTTAGAGCATAGAGTCTTATTCAATTTCATTTAAAACAATGAGATGAGAGCAATATTAACTAATTCATTTTAACTGGGGATAATTACATTTAATTAGTCATGTTAATTCAATTACACAGGAAGAGAGATGCATTCTGATAGCGCTGACGTGCAGGATGGGACAAGAAATGCTCCAAGAACCCTGTCAGAAATGAAAGAATTCACAGGATAAGAAACAGGAGACAAAGGAATTACCACCCCTGACTTGATCTGTGGCCCAGTCTAGTATCTGTCTCAGATGACACAAGCACATAAATCTTCAGAAGGTGAAAACAAACCCCAAAATAAACAAAACCACAAAGAGATGTTGGAGGATAAATCTGCCATGACAAACTACAGTGTAATGCTTAGAAACTCTCTCAAACAAAAAGATGTCTTATGGTCTTTATAGCCTTTATTAGCAATAATTACTGAATATGGACTGTTTTAAGCCAGGTTCTTGCTTGATTTACCCTTGAACTCCTTTCTTAATCGCTCCGGTGGCTGAGTTCCACTATCTAATTATACACAGAAGGTTAAGTGGCTTAAGGTGGATAAAGAAGGAGTAGATATGTTATATCTCAGCTTTAATAAGACTTTTGATGCTGCTGCTAGATAGGGTTGTATCTAATTCCATAAGCTGGGTATGATGTCAGATGGAAATCCACTCCTAGAAAAGCAGTTATCAATATATTATTGTTAAAATAGAAATGCATTTCTAATACCATCAAAATGATGGCAAAGGAAGCATCAAAGATGATGACAAGTTTCCAAGTTCGTCCTGTTCCTCCTCCAGTCTGATGAAACCAAAGTGAACCCTGGACCGCTTCCTTTCTTGTTCTCTGAGAGCATGACAGTCGGAAGATGGGTCACCACTGGTGACAGCCTCTGCCTAGGAAATTTTAGTGATGAACCCATACAGACGATGTTTGCGGAATACTTCTTATATATTTTATTGACTGAATTGATATGGAAATCCGCATGTTTGCTATTTATCTCAAATTTTAATAACTTCTTTGAAGGTTCTCTAAAGATTAACTAGGATCCAGTGTAAGATCTCTGTTTCCCTAACAAATTGAAATATTCAAGCCACTGCTGGGGTTTGGGTTGGTTTTTGTTTGTTTTCCTTCTGCACCACCCCAGTTCCAGTGGAGTCATAAATGGCCAGGCCTATCTCAGATTCCTGGACCCATGCAATGTGGGCCTTTGGTCTATTTTCCAGAGCATAACTTTATCTTACTTTTACCCACCCTGTTAACCCGCAATTCACAGCTGTAAGAAACTAGGAGGCTTTCTGAGGTCTTGTGAGCAGCTCTGTATCAGCTCAAGAACAACACGCAGCTCTGAAATTCCTCCTCCCCGCCCTTGCTATCAGGCAGACCTTCTTAGGGAATCGTACTGCTATGACTCTGGGAACCATGAGAGACTCTTGAATGTCTCCTGAGCGCTCTGTGCTGGTAAAGGTGCATGGCTGGGGAAGATGTCATTAGGAGGAACGGGAGAGGGATGGGTACAGAATAGCCCTTATTTTCGAGGCATTACCCCTAGTTTGGTAGGCGAGATTCAGGGCTGAGACGCGCTCTCGAGTTGGCAGGCTGCGTAGCGCAGGAACTGGGCTGTGTTTATCTGCACGGAGATTCCCTGGGGGTTTCACAGCTTAGTCACGACTAAGCAGGCCTACCTCAGCACTCGATTTTTTTTTTTTTTTTGAAGTGTTTTATACCGAGATGCAAGTTTGCACACGTTCCTAAACGCCAATGCTACCTTTCGCCTTTTTCAACATCCACTTGGAAACTGTGACTTCTCCGCGAGTTGGCCGACGCCACGGCCGGAGTACGCGGTCACCCGGTACCCCGTGACGGAACCGTGGCGGGAGGAGCCGACAGCCGCCCCATTCCGCTGCCTCCTTC